ATTACTCTTCTCACCCGGAAGTCCTTCATGTAAAAAATTATATTTCCAAGTTTCACAAAGTTCTCACTAGGTTCAACCCAAGCACAAAAAATTATAGAAAAATAGTTCTATCAAAATTTAGAACTACTCAATAACACTGTAGCCAAGGCATTAAAATTTCTTATGCTAACTTACTCTATGGTACTCAACAGGCAAAGTTAGATTGGTTTCAACAACTACACATTCAAAAAGAAATACTTGCAGGGAATCTCTGAATCTGACCTCAGAGATTTAAATAAGAAAAATGGACACCAAGTTTCACAAGGAAATAATACACTTTATTGATACATAAACATGACAAGATGAAAACATGGGTCGAGTTGATGCTTTATGCAGACTTGTTCACAAGACAAAATCCAAGTAATCCTTAATCAATTTAAACTCTAATCTGGCTTATTTTTCCTAGAGTGCATTGTTTGCCATGTCATTTGTCACTCTCAGAAAGGAAAGGGGCAAAATCGAGTCTCTGGTACTTCTACATCTTCAGATGACTGATCAGGCCATAAGGTTTTAGGACAAGTCTAATGGAAACTTTCAACAAAGCCAACCACAAAAAGACCTAGATATACCAAAAGATAATAACCCAATACAATATATGTGACTAGCAAAAGAATAGTCAACTTATTTCAAGGCAGTTATTGTTATTTGCACACTATACATAAACAAATGCACTAATATGCTCAAGTGCAAAAAAGTTTAAATTTTTTTTTATGAACAAATATTCTACTTTCTGAACTAGAAGAGACAGAAATACCTAGAATTTCACAATTCCACAATATACAAGCATACATACTATTGAATAGTGTTGTTAAAATGCCCCAAGGGCCAGGGTTTTTCACGATGGTAAAATATACATTATGACCCACTTACTTTTTGCAAGTTAACCACTAGATTTATACAGTTAACAACTTCACCACTAATTTGCTTTTAACTATAATCCTAATAATGTGTTTAGGACTTAAATCAGCATTAGTATTGGTTTTTCTGCTTGCTATTTTTAACACACTATCAGGTCAATAGCTAGAATATTGATAAATTCATTTACACCCTAAATCAGCACATTTGTATTGGTTTTTGTGCTTGCTATTTTTAATACACTATCAGGTCAACAGCTAGAATATTAATAAATTCATTTACACCCTCTAGAGTTAGTTATTCTTGGAAATGGAATGGATTTAAAATTTTTGTGTGTGTGCAGTTGATGCTTGATAAGGTTTTCTGTATTTTCTGAAATATTTGAAGTAAATTATCAAAATATTGATCACCAGTTGCGAAGCAACAAAAAAATCATCTGATAAATTTCCTTTATGATATGTCTGCAGTTAAAATTTCCATTTTTTTTTCCTACCTGAATGTTCAAATACAAAGACATAAAATGTGGTAAGTATTTTAATAACAGTGAAAAAAGATTATTCCCATGAGCTATACATATGTAAATTTCAAAATATACAGTTTTCCATGACTAACTGCTTGCATGGTACAATGGGCCTTCTACAATATTGTACACATTTATTAGATTCTATTCTGCAGAGAGCAAGTAAGAATTCATTAAAATAAATGAATCTGAGTCAAGCTTGCTCTTTGTTAAAATTTTCTGCCTAGGGAGGGGCCTTGTTCAAGAGGATAGTTTTACAGACTCGAACATCTAGGGAACAATATACTGAAAATTTTTCATGGGCAATCTAAATATATTACACAAATTTTCTTGCAATCATTTTATTATAACTTTTTGTATCAAATGTATAGGAAATTTAGAAAAGAACCATATGAATTCATTTTGAAACAAGTTTTTATAACTTTAATATTGCTCCAAAGACACAGTTTAACTGTCTTCAAAGTGCTTAAAATTCAATTTTGGTCAGGAAGCTTTACCCACTGTAGCCCCCAACAAAGGAAATGTTTCCCTTTTCCTATAGTGATCGAGGACCCCCAGACCTATCACCCTTTTATTTTAATAAATAGTGAGAGCCCTAATATCATACATCATCAGTCAACCACACAGCATAGTCTATTAAATGCAGCCAACAAATATGGTTAGTCATTGAAAGTTTATATATTTGTATTTCAATCAAATGGATTTCTTTTTGCTTTAACTATTAAGCATACAAGTCTGGTAAAATGACAATTCTAAACATGCACCATTATTCAGTTAGTTTATTACTCATTCATTACCTAAGTTTTCCTCATATCTATTCATCTTCATTTTGCAATTTTAATAAAAAAATAAGTTAATGGTATTTATGAGATACAAGTTTTTTACCTATTTGAAATTTTAGAGATAAACATTCTTATATTGAATGTTTTCATTTCTAACTATAATGAGTGTGATTAAAAATCTGGCTTGAAAATTCTACTTTAAGTAAATATTAATATATGCATTTCTTTTTTGGCAATTCTGTGAAGAAATTTGACTTAAAATACACTATTGGATACTTTGGGGGATTAAATATGACTACAAAAAATTATAAGAATTATGAATATAATACTAAAAATCTTTAGACATGAGAAAAATGTCATGATCTTCAGTTTTGTTTACACTTTATGATAATTTAGGTTGAAAGTTAATGATTTTAACAAGTACATTAATTTTTTTTTTCCATAAAACAACTATTAAAACTTATTATTTTCCCTGGCATGATGCAATATTACTGGTCTATTAGTCCTAATAAGGTTTTCCAAAGAATCTGTTGAGAATTGCATTATCACTTCCTAAAAACATTTATGAAAATAGGGTTAATAAACTATGCACAAGTGGATAAATTATATCTCCAGAAAAACAAATGTAAAAAAAAAAATTAGCATCTTGGTCAAAAATAAAATCAGAATTGTTGAGCTATGGATCTCTAATCCTATGATACATGAATTGCTACTTCAAACACTGAAGATTTAAAAAAAAACAAGTGGTATACTTTAGAATCTTCTTTATATGAAAAGCCAGTTCTAAATAAACCTACCTCACAATGGCTCATAACTCCTATGATTTTTTTTTGCTTTGGTACCTACAACTATTTTGTGAATGAAACTTTTTTGCCCCTCCCTCTACAAATACTTATGTTTATTTTTGTGGTGCGACAATCAGGAAGTTTTTGTCAGTCATAATTCAAAATAATTAACTGATTTATAGTGTTATGTAACTTAAAATGTCAAACCTGACGAAAAACTTGTTCCATATCAGAGCAGTACCGAGTGGTTGATTCACCTCCCTGCAATACAACCACAGAATTCTCTGGAACATTCTTTGCTCTTAGTCTGTCACACAACCGCTGTCTGTTTAGGTCATGAAGTTTGATAGGAACAGTTAAGGTGTGTTCTCCCATGCAAAATGCAGGTCTACAAATATGTAATATGATTACGAAGTTAAATTGGAATTCATATAGGTGATTCCTATATTTCAACATATTTCTCAAACAGAAGTATATATATATATATATTTTCTTAATACAAATATTTTATGTTGAATAATATGAGGATATATAATAAGAAGGAAGCACATAATGCTAACATAATAAGAGGCAGACAAAAAACAATTTTTAAGTGTAAGGAAGAGTTTTATTGATGGTGAATCATACTACACGTTTCAACAGAACACTGGTCTGTCTTCTTCAAGTATGATCTGCACAAAGCAATACAGGATTTACATATATATTATTACAAAAACTAAAGAAACAAGCATTTAATGTGATGGAAATGATGTCAGCAGATGCCAGGAAAGATAAAGGTCAAGTCTGATCAAGTGTACAAGCAATGAATAGACCTTGATAAATAAAGCTGATTTTACTAGGACCGTTATCATGATCCTTAGGAATAAGATGAAAGGTCACATGTACAAAAGCAAATTTCAGACACCTACTTTAATATATCATCAATTTGAAACAGGTCACAAAATACTTTGAGATAAAATTCTTCTCCTACACCAACCAAAAGAAGAAGACTGTTTAGAAACTAGAGATCAAAGCAAACAATCTCTAACTTAAACATAATAATGGCCCAAGCAGCATCAGCTGTATTTCACTGTTCATACACTTGATCAGACTTGACCTTTACCTATGTCCTGTCACCTGCTGATATAATCTCAATCACAATTAATCCTTGTGTCTTTGTAACTATATATACATAACTCATATTCCTTAGTACGGATCACAACTGAAGAAGACAGTTCAATGTTCTGTCATAACATGTAGTAAGTTCCATCATCAAAAAATCTTCCATATGCTTAAAAATTGTTTGCCTACCTATTATGATATATATAATAAGGACACCAATAAAAACAAAGAAAAGTTTTTTTTATTGATTTACACTGATAACTCTTAATGGAAAAACAATCTCATCATTGATTCAAAATTAAGTTTTTCATAAACTTGTCTAAGTATATTTAAATTGTTTGTACAATAAACAGTTTATTTTGTTTAAAAAAACTGTCACACATACACAAAACACATTATGAAAAACAGGCAACAAATTACATATAGAGAAAACAGTAATTAAAATTTGTCTATGAAACTAACTTACAGCACAGAGAATCAGGGATAGAAGATTCAGAATTTAGGAATTTTGAGAGTTTTCTTTTAAATAAGGAATAGTGATTTTCAGTACAACATTGAAGTAAAAAGCATTTTACTGTAGATGTTGAAATAATAAATCTACATGGACTAAAATAACAGTTATTCACCACTGTTTTATCCTTTCAGTCATTCGAGAGACGAACTAAAGTAAAAACATCAGAATCTGCAGTTTGCATTCAAGTTCACTATAGTGATTTTAATATCAACTCAGTTTAAATGCAACTGTAAATATTGCAAAGTATGCATTTTTAAAATGTTGTATATTCCATTGCTTTGTTTGAGTTAATAGTTTCATGTAAGTCAACTGTAAAATATACATTGTACGGTGACAATTGAAATTGGGTATGATTACTTATTGGTAAAGGTTAGGTGCTTCATTTACATCAAATTAACGGTTTATCTTGGTAATTATCATGCAGTATCTGTGTCAAGAGGTACTTGAAGTTGACTGCTATGATAGGAGGCTTAGAGGATTATAGAAGATCAAGACAGTTAGTCAAAGAAGGCATTAGGCACTGAAAAAGGGAATATGAAAAAAAAGGTTGGATGAAGATGTCAAAATTAATAGTGAAAATGTCTTTAAATGCATCATGGGTAATCAAAATATTAGGAAGGTAGTAGGACCTTTGAGAGATAATGAAGGCTTATTTCTGAAAATTATGAGATGGCTAGGCTACTAAATGAAGATTTAAGCATATTCCACATCCTGAACAGTTGCTGTTGATTATGACTACCTATTACAATATATAATATGGACACCAATAAAAACAGAGAAAGGTTTTTCATTGATTTACTCTGGTAATGGAAAAACCATCTCATCTTGTAATGGCTCTAGCAGCATCAGTTGCATTCAGCTTAAAAGTTATAACAGTACACTGCCCAGGTAATTAACATGTCTTTTAAGCATATATCACATCCTGAACAGTTGCTAGAGGGTAACATAATTCTATATATTAATTTACCTACATTATGAGCCGTCAGCAACAACTGTTAACATAATTGATGAACAAGATAATCAGATCAATTCTGGGTTTGTTAAAAAAAAATTGGAAGTTTAAAGAACAACAAGGCTCCTGAATTAGATAATATTCCCCAAAGAACTTTGAAAGAGGTTAAGAGTTGGATATGTAAGCAAGTCACTTGCTAATGTTAAGGCTCTTGGACCAGATATTTCTTTAAGGGTTTTGAAGGAGTTTAAGGACTGGATAATTAAGCCATTTGCTACTTGAATAGTGAGCGAGTGCCTGATGATTGATAGTTTGCAAGTGTTATATTTCTTTTGAATGGAGGTGATAAAAATTGTCCAGGTAATTATAAACCTATTAGTATTAGCCTTACATCAGTGGTTGGAAAAGGATTTGAAAGTTTTATAAAAGATGCTTTGTTAATACTTTTAACAAAGTTTGAAACTTTTTTGGATAGTCAACAATGGTTTCACTTACGAAAAATCTTGCCTTACTACTCTTTTGACATTATTTGAAGAGGTTACTGTTCACACGCATGTAGAAATGAATAAAGTATGGATTTGGTATATCTTGATTTTCAAAAAGCTTTGGACAAGGTGCCATACAAGATTTGTTAAAAAAATGATCTATATGGGTGTGTGGGATAAGTCGGCTCCATAGATCAAAACTAGGTGGAGAGAAGAAAGCAGGGGGTTGTTATAAATGGAGTTTAGTCAAGACTCAATGTTGGAACCTCTGCTCTCTTAGAAGTTAGATTTGGATCAATGACAGATAAAGGAGTGGTCAATACATTTCTTCAATTTGATGAATATTTTAAGGTCTTGGGTGTTGTTTGCTTTGCAGGGGATGCTGTTACTTTACAAAAGGATTAAGATCATTTGGAGTTAGGCAAATAACTGGCAGATGGCTTTTACTCATAATAAATGAAAGATAATGTATGTGAATTATTATTATAATTTAAACTAGAAGTACAAATTTCCTGTGAATAGCCTTAACAGTGTTATGACAAAAAAGTTCTTGGAATTTTTGGTTACTCAGTCTTGTAAGCCATCCAAGCAGTATGCTGTTGCTATGGCAGGGCAAGTAATATTTTGGGATGTATATACAGAAATGGAATACAAGTCTAACGAGGTTATTTATTGCACAAGTCAATGGTTTCTAACCTTTTTTTTGCAATGGAGGACTAGCTAATTCTGGTCCCAAAGTATCACAGACTACTTGGCACAATATTATCTTTTTTGAAGTACTTTTAAATTACATGGTAAAATAATATACTTCAATAGGTATACTTTGAACACACATTTTTCATTTTTCGACTGTCTTTTGGACCAGCTGAAATTTCCCTGCAGTATGGTGTACCAGTCGAAGGACCAGCAGTTAAGAGCTACTGGTATAGGTCATTGGTTAGGCCTCATTTGGAGTACTGTGTTAAATTTTGGACTCCTACCTTAAGGGCATTGAACTATTGGAAAAGATTCAAAGGAGGGCTACTAAGATGATACCTTTGTTTTAAATGCACCACTAAAAATTGTATACCATTCAACAACCATGACTATTTAAATAGGGCTGTAGGAAGCAGTAAGGCCATGACTTGACCATATTTTCATGGCATGTATAGTCACAACTTGTGTATTAAAACTTGCTTCTTTTAATTCAATACATTACACTGTGCATTTGTAGTTAAAATAGATCAAGGTTCAATCTCATAGCATTAAAATTTTTAAAAGTTTTCTCGTGGGCATACCCCAGACACCACTCAGAAATGGCATGCTTTGCATGCCAGTAGTGCGTTTTGTATACAACGTATGTCACATATTTAGCTGTGGCAATGGCCTGTCCATTCAAAAATTGCTTCCTACAGCAATGTACTATAGAAATGCTGTTGTAACACTTAAAGTTTCATACTCTATCAGTTATGTTTTGTGCAGTTCAAATACTTAAATTTTAAAACACTGAAGTATAATAGGGCAATGAGGTATGCAATATTTCTACAGTATTACTATTTCACGATATTAATAATTGTTACTTTTAAACTGAAAACCTATTAGTAATAATTAAGTAATCATGGTAAATGGCAATAATATTCACTTATTTATTGTAAAGTTCACCGCAAACTGAAGAATTTGATGCCTTTGTTTCAGCTCGTCAAAAGCAAAAGCGTAATACACTGATAATGATAAATAACCGCTATTTTATTATTTAATCTATCCAAATTTATTAATATTATCCCAATATCTACAATTACATACTGAGAATGGCCACTCCCACTTCAACATAGCCTGATCCTTATTACTTATATCTGTGCAGTTCAAACTTCCCATTCCCACTTTTATCTTTAAAAAATTCCCAATCCCCGATGAATTAATTTTATGTAAACTGCAATTGACTGATGGACCTCAATACTTTCGTGTTATACAGAATTAACTTAATCAGTCAATGCCGCCTTTATTTAAATTATTATGATTTATACAATATTTTATATTTAACGTTCAATTACTTTTAATTTAAATTATAATCTATATTAAATAATCTTCAAAACATGAGTTTCGAAGTTAAAACTTAAATTAAACGCTTCTACTGTTCTAGTTCTACATCATAAATCGAATATTATTATTAGTGTAGAATATCCTAAATGAAACAGTTTTATGTGCAACTTACTGAGCTTTTAGTGATGCCATAGCGCCTGCTGTAAATAATACTAACACAAAATGATAATACCAATGATAAAGACCTACTACACCCCTAACTAAAGCGAAACACCTGAGAGAATGGAAACATTCCTAGAACACGTTAAGAAATACGCCAACTTTATAGCGATACTAGTGTCCTCTATTTGGTAAAATATTCACTCGTGTTATATGTTTAATACTTTCAGATGTCATTTTTTCGTCACAGCGCTACTATAAATAAATATGTTTCAAGAAGTTGTAACACTGATGTTGCTAATTTTTATTGCAATTTATTTAGCCAACAAGAGGTTTAAAATAAACAAAAAATAAATGTAAAGACCAATCTATCATTCAGTTTACCACCTGTCACTGAGGTATGGCTTACTTGAGGGAATTCTACCATTCAAAAGGAAATTAAAACAACAACACTAGCCTTCATATAATAATAATAATATGTTTAGCATTTGTTATATGGATAAAAGTTTTAGTTTTCTTTGTACACTTGTTTGGTTTGTTTTTACTTCACTCTCTATGCTTTAGATTATTTTCTGTATAGCATATTTGGAACTTACCGTATTTCGTACGTTTATAACATTCTGGCAGACATTAAAGTACCTTAATAATAACACTATAACTAAAGTTCCATTTACATATAATGAGAAGTTCCAAATAGTTACAAAAGTATGCCAAACATTACGAAATATTTTAAAGAGAGTTCCATATTTAATATATATATGATCTTTATTACTAAACTTTAATTATTCTTCTGATGAACTGGCTTTCATCCTTCAAGATGTCTTTCTGTCAGCCAATTCACTTGAGATCCTATGTAAGTCTATTTTAAATTGATATAATTGAGGCCGTCACCTCGAGGTTTCATTTGAACTACCAGTGAAAGACACTGCTATTAGCATTCTTGCACAATGTGCAGCATCACTTCAATAACTCTTCAAGGGCTGAAAAGGTATTATCTCCATAGAATAACAAATCATCAAAGGCACTTGGAGTGAAGTCAAGTTAACGGCTTTCTGGATTATGTGTTATGTGAAAACTGAATAGATTCAGAATAAACTATTTTTTTTTAATTTCTACATTGATATAAGAGGTAGAAAATAGAAAATGCACGGTATACCTTCATATCACATCATCCTAAGTTCAATAAGTAAAGTTGACTAACTCTTCATTAGCCTCTAATCATTTTTAGATAGTTGAGAGAGTTAACAACCCAGTAAATATTTTGATATATGCACTTGTTTAATTTTGTTTATTGTTTGAATTAAATAAAAATTGTTTTACTGTGTTTTGTGTCAGATTTTGCTTTGTAATACATTTTCGGGCGTACCATCTGTTATTCTGCGCAACACACACGATCGCTCTAGGGTAAATAAGTGCAACTAAGAATTCCACAACTTTATGATTGTTTTATACTGTTTAGCCTACTCATGCGAATAAGAATGTAATACGTACTTTAATATTAGGGCAATTTCTACTCAATGATTCAAAAACTTAATAATTAAGTGTTGGTTTAGCCATTAAATTACTTTACGCTAGACCGATAAGGGAAGGTAATAAACATTTGTAAGTACAGCTTTAGTATAATTTAGAATTCACGTTCTCTTAACTATTTTAAGCGTGTCTTTCACACTTTTCATAACAATTGGTTCAGAAAGTCATAATTTAGTTATCAAGTGAACATGATATTGTAATTTATATTGAATAACTTAGTCAATCACAATATTTGATCGTTATAATTATTTTAACAAAGCGATAAATTATCAAAATGTAACGAGAATATCGAATGCTTAAATGCATTTGTGATCTGACATTCGAAAAGACCAAATGTACGAAACATAAATCTCAACATATTGAACATATAGCATATTTTCAATCGCCAGTTTTACCGCTATCAGGCATAGAATATCTATTTTTGGTTTATCATTTCAAAGCTACTATGACTTAATGTAATAAAAAATCAACCAGTCAAATTCTGTATTTTTGCTTTTGCTTTTATCAGATGCGAATTGGAAGTATATACAAATACCAATAAGCATGACATACTTATCAGAATGTTAATCGTGACTAAAATGCTAGAGTAGAGTAGAGGTTAGTGTTCCCAGCTTGTCAGGCCAAGTTTTAGAGTATTACCCATGTCGCTGTTTCCAAGTAGAGGTTAGTGTTCCCATCTTGTCAGGCTTAGTTTTAATTGTACCACTCAGTTCTTAATAGAGATTTGTGTTGTTGTTGTTTGTTATTAAGCACAAAGGGCTATCTGTGCTCAGCCCATCACGGATATCGAAACTCGGTTTCTAGCGGTATAAGTTCGCAGACATACCGCTGTGCCACTGAAAGGGGGGGGGGATAATTTGATCTTAGTTGTAATAACTAGTTGCGTTCTGATGGTTTGGCAGTAAGTTTGAGGGCTAAAATTCGAGGTTCCATATCTACAGTGGACACAGCAAAGATAGCCCATTGTGTCCTCTTGTATATAACATTAAATAAAACAAACAAAGCAAGTAATAGCCAATTATAGTTTAAACATTTATTTTCCTCAACATTTAAATATTTGTTCTATGAAGAACATAGTAATGCTGTTTTCGCACTAGACATTCCACCTGGCACAAATCTCTGATAATTTTAGATGCCGTGGTAAATATTAATTCACTGTTCCGGATTCAATTTATCCAGACTATTGGGCGCTCGATTGGTACTGTGCGAGTCACGAGATCGAAACCAGCTATCGAACATGCTCGCCCTTTCAGCAGTGGGAGCATTGTATTGTGATGGTTAACACTGCTATTTGTTGCTAAAGAGTTGGCGACGTGTGGTGTTGATTAGTTGCCTTCCAAAATTAAGGACGGCTAACGCAGATAGCCCTTGAGTATCTCTTCACGAAATTAAAACAAGTAACCGAACTATGGGAAAACTAAATCGGCACATTTGTATTGGATTAACTATGGTGTGAACATGTGATTTTTCTCATTTCACTACAGGAGGGCGCATTACGATTGAATACCTCACGAGATTGTTCGTCAGACTTTAAAAATACTATTTTTTGATATCTTAATTTATTTTTATAGCGGGCCCAGCATGGCCAGGTGGTTAGGACGCTCGAGTCGCAATCTGAGGGTCGCGGGTTCGAATCCTCGTCCCACCAAAAATGCTCGCCCTTTCAGCCGTGGGGGCGTTATAATGTGACGATCAATCCCACTATTCGTTGATAAAAGAGTAGCCCAAGAGTTGGCGGTGGGTGGTGATGAGTAGCTGCCTTCCCTCTAGTCTTACACTGCTAAATTAGGGATGGCTAGCGCAGATAGCCCTCGTGTAGGTTTGCGCGAAATTCAAAACAAACTTTTTATAGCGACATCTTCGTTTTGACCGTAAATGCGACGGCGAATCATGAACAGTATCAGCAATCTCCTAGTGTGGAGAAGTCATCAGGACAAACTTTTTTAATATTCTCACCTCTTCTCGTAGTTCAGCTCACTGTGCGAATTAATAGAGCGCATTTTTGTCCTTGTGAAATACACATATAAAAGACAAAAAAAACGAAAAAAACTGGAAAAATTCTGATGCTGTATCGACGTCCATTTTGTGATCTTGCAAGATGTCATATGGTCAACAGGGAGAGCCAGCTGGTGTATTATTTTGGTACTCAGAATCGACGACATTTCGGTACAGGGCTGATTCACATCAAATGTTTTTAATGCAAACGAGGGTGGATTAAAATTCCCGAAATGTCTGCCGTTTTTGTTTTGTTTTTTATGCTGGAATAGCCGTTCCAGATCAGGAATGTGATCACGATGTAATTAGCTTACAATGCTCTACTGTTTAGAAATAAACTTCAGACACAGATATAGGTAAAAAAAATTCAGATGGTTTTTAATTGTTTGTTCGTTGTAAAGCACAAAGCTACATAATCGAAACGCAATTTTTAGTAATTTACCGGGAAAAGGGGGGGGGGTCAGTTGTTAATAATATCCAAGTAATAGCAAGTTGTTGCTTAAACATTTTTTTTTAAACTTAAACGTTTGTTCCATGGAGAGCCTACTAAAAGGCTCACTATGCCCTACCGCTTATAAATAAACTCAAAACAAAAATATAGGTAAATAAATTGGAGACAGTTGTTCATAATTTCGATCAAAGTAAACCGAATTACCTTAAATCTCAAATACAAATGTTATGCAAAGAGCGGACGGTTTTTAAACTCAACATTTTTGTTTTTGTTTTTTCGAGCGAAACAGTGACAACCCAGTAGAAACATTTCTTATTTACTAAAAATGCATATTGTACTTTCAAGCTTCCCTACTGTTAAAGGTTTACTTATTTAACGAATAAATAGGAATCAATGCGTTTTATTAATCTATTCAGAGACAGGGCTTCAAAATTCTTATAGTTTACAACTTATATGGCTTTTACAATTGTTATGATTCCAAAGCGACTGATATTTTTTCATTCATACTTCTAGGTTTCACTGTTACTATCAGGACAGTTTATGTGATAGCAAGACAACAGTGATATTTATTTTCGATTCGTGATGTGAAACTTCATTGTATATATAACATCCGTAGAAAAATGACATCAGTATATTCTTTGATAGATTGTTTAGGCAGAGTATTCATGATGAAACTTTGTAGAATGGACAGCAACTGCCTATTGTAGAGACGTTTTGAAAGACGAAAGGCGGAAGACTATCGAAACGTCGTCCGCTACACTTGTTGCCGTCCATTCTACAAATATATCAACATAACCAAATGATCATGCACTTGCTTCGCGCGTTTTGATCTGAAGAACAATACGAAACTTTTGAATAAACGGTAAATCTGAAGGCTTATAGCGCTAAAAAGCTGGTTTCGATACCTGTGGTGGGCATAGTACAGATAGCCCACTGTGTAGCTTTGTGCTTAACTATATACAAACAAACAAAACTGACTAATCCTTACTTCCCTACTACTTGTCCCCTTTCCGGCCTCTACCTTGACAAAGATACTGCCACTTATTGACAGAACTAAACTTTAAGCCAGGTTCGACAAACTCTATCAGATATATAATAGATATACTATTATGTCTGTTAGAGTTGTAATAGCACTGATTTAATATCTTCTGGAACGTTGTCGTTTCACGTGAATGCCCTCGCTACTAGAA